GCTCTCGTGTTCAATTTAGAGTTATCATCAGTTAATGTTGGTCAGCGGATCATCATTTAGCGCTTTATATTGTTGCATGTTATATTTTCAGTCGCGTATAAGGCGCCGAGTTTACGTGTTTCTCTTACGTTTTCTATCATGACATCGCGTACAACATTTTTATCGGAAATACACAACTATGCGAAGGACAAAGTGATAATGCTTGAGTTCATAATAATGTTTCTCTTTACAAGAGGATCCTATTTTGGATGATTGACCAAAGTCGGTGGAAATTGTAGTGCCCATATAACACCCCCGAACACAATGGGATATCACTCAAACCTTTCAGGGGTAGGTCAGCAACCTACTTTCTGCACTATGGGCTACCCATGTCTCCCATAGAAAAACGAAACATCACTTCAACTAACCCTCTACTGGTTTCTAAATGAACATTTACCAACCGCGTCTCACCGAAGAGATTCATGCAGATTAATGTGATTTTCGATTCCTCTTTATGCAAGAAACTTATTTCAGAAAACAAATAACATTTTCGAAGCCTGTGCCTCAGCTCAAAATGTATGCGGATGTCTTTCCGATGCCCTTGAAAGCCACGCCAATTAGAACCGTGCACGCGGGCAAGATTCTTTGAGAGAATTCGTCAAAACGCGATGGGCCGTAATTCCCCAAAGCCTGCAACTCTGGCCGTGGAGATGTGGCGGCTAATCCATTTAGCCGACTGTGCCGCTCACGTAAAGGATAATGACGGAAGATGCACGCTCATTGCCGGCGCGTCTCAGAAAATTGGAGGATTCTTTTTGGAAAGGGGCAGCGCTTTTCCTCCCTCCACCCTCAGAATGATTGAGCTGTCCGCGTCATCAAAGCTGAATGGCAGTTCTCAAATGCCTTCTTGGTGCCCTGCCGTGTGGGCTGGGTAAGCGGTTGCCGTTTGCTGTGTGAAAGGACGTATAATGTATGGACGTACGTGTGTGTGTTGAACTTCCTTTGCACCGTACGTAGACAACCGCGCTAATTGGAAGTGTGTACAATGCTCACTTAAGCACGTGAGCATTGGTATACGGCTACAATTCTGGCAATATCGCCCGATGATGCTGGATGTAATCACCAGCGAAGCGTCGTACTCGAAGTGTTGTGGATTTACTCCCCAACACACCGGTGTGCTTTGTTTACGTGAGAAACTCTTACTGTTTGGCAGTGGCAGATGGTTAACGACGCATTTATACTTACGCGATCCAACCAAAAAAATAAACTTAATTATGAATTATTATGAGGCGACAAGGCGGCCTGTAGAAGTGCAGTGTGACGCCACGTGTGCGACCATCTCGCAATAACGCGCCCTGGCCAATTCAGCGCCCGCACCCAACGCGGTATGTTTGTGCACGGCGGTGGGCCGGCGTCAACTCTCCATTTTCCATTCACACTTCCGACCAATTATGTAGGAGGATGTCGGTGCGAATTATCGCCTCGTATATGAGTTGAGTTTTCTTCCCGGGCACTTGGGCTTCCTCCCGCATGCACAAATGTCGGGAAGGGAATCTGGGAGTTACATCCCGAGCAGGAGCGGGTACTACTGGCACCATCAGAAGGGGTATTTTTTTCGTGCTCCTAGTCACCTAGTGTATGTATGTGACCAATAAATCCACGCCGCTTATACACATGCAGCCCATTGTCAGCCCACTGCCGGATGAGGGCCTACCCACTCTGTGCGGGTCGTGGGGGGGTATTTGACCATACTTCACTACATTTGGTCAGTGTGGATTGGTGAAGAAATATACTTAAAAATGTGATCACCTTCTGTTGTCACACGCGATTGTTGCACACGCTTTATATGCAACTGTAGACTTCGCAAAAAAACACGCGTTTTTGTGCCATTCCTTCACGTAAAGTCCTGGTCACAAAAGCACTTTTTTTGAGGAATAATAGCCATTTTCTATACTTTTGAGGCATAAGCAATTAGAAAATAACACTTACTACCCAGGAACAAAAATCGTGTTACATAGTGTAATAAAAGATTCGTTCATTTTTTTTTTAATAAAGCACCACTCATGTTGAAATTCCTCGAATCGCCTTGCGTAAAAAAAGTATTAAAAACCTACGCTCACAAGCATCGGTGCAATCCAATCGAAATGCAGTAAAAGCCAATAATAAGAATAACTACACTCGCAATACAGATACAATGAAGAACAAACAACGATCATAGCCAGAAATCGTAATAGTTACACTCACAGTGCAGGTAAATTCCAATGGGACTCCTGGAGAAGCCAATGAAATAAATGCAACGCCCTGAAAAGACTCACGGATTTCTCCAGGAAAGCTGCCCTCAAACGGAGGCCGCGCCTGGGAAAACCGGCACAGGTGGAAACCCCATAGCCACGGTGGGGTCAGCGAACGGGCGGTGTCCGTGTGAGCGTCCGTCGCCTGCGGTGAGGAACCCCGCGGTGACCTTCGCCTCCCCCGCCTCGGCACCGCCTGGGGGTGCTGAGGTCGGCGCGGGTTCCTTTCACCCGCACTGTGCCGTGGGGCGCCTTTTAAACGGCCGTGCTGCGAGAGATATATATGTCCATATACACACACACGTAAGATTAGGCCTGGCTTTGCGAGGTAAGCTTGCCCCGATAAGAGACAGAGCCCGCAGAAGCTTACACGGGGTGGGGGGTGGGCGGGGTTGGGATAAAATCGTAGCGGGAATTTTGGTGAAATTGACCGGTGCGCTGCGGTGCTGCAGGCGGTCGCGGTAACGGCGCGGAATGAATCCGTGGCGTCAACGCCGGCTCTCTCCCGAACGAAGCCCGGGCATTTTTTGGGGTCGCGTCAACTCCGTTTGGTGGAGGATCCAGACGTGTCGATTGTACGTACGCACGTATGTAGCCAATCGTGGTACTCGGAAGGTTCGGAGGAAGGACGACGAAAATTCGAACACGTGTATTGCACGTTGGACTTCTCTTGATCCGTACGTAGCCAACCGATGCTGTTCCACAAACAAATATTTCTGCTTGTCTCTGCATGGCCCTGCACGGAAGTGAGCACAGTGAACCCACTGAGACCGACTGGCCGTTGGGTCTCTTGTTTCCAAATGTTACGGAGAGTCTTAAGTCTGACTTAAATTATCCCCCAACCCTGCTGTAAGTACGGTATTTTGAGGGTGTGATATTGTGGTATTTGCCGGCCCGCTAATAACCTTATTACAGCTCACGTCACGAGGAGTTTTGATGTTGCTGAGTAATTTCAGGATCCCAGTGCAATCATTAATAACCAATGCCTCGTAGCAGCAGTGACAAATTATATTGGGGCCCTAATTAAGTGCACTCTCGTATGAAATATGAAGCTGGGCTCGGGGCAATTTTTATCTTGGCGAGTGTATGCGGGTGGTGCAGTGGTTAGCGCACTGCCCTACGAACACGGCCATCCGACTTTGATTCCCGTTCATGGCCACCGACAGCAGTTATAATCATCTGAACTGGTCCTGGGCCTCCCATAGGTTGACTCAGCCTCAGATGAGTTCCTGATGCGATGTTTAAGCATCGCCGCTAGGGAGACAAAGGTGGTCGGGCGTGGTGCTGGCCTCGCACCCCTTCGTGTGCCGTGCCGGCCTTCATAGGCACTACTCCGTGAACAGCACTTGCCCAACATTCTGTTGAGGCTATACGGGGGATCTTTATCTTTGTGTCTATGTGCACCCGCTTGACGTATTAACACAAACAACTGCTGAGGTGTTTAGTGCGCGTGCATGAAATAAACATGGGGATGGTCATGAATAGGGCATGTCGAGTTATACCACGTACATTTGCAAGTCTAAATGTAATCTATTTCGTTGCGTGTATGCGAAGGAGGTTGCGTTAGCGTGCAACGCCAGGGTGCGGTTGATGAGGTGATGCTGCTCGTACTCTTGCGGTCGGTTATGTTCAACGCGCCTCTCAGCTCTCGGCTCTATTCGGTTTTAATTAGGTCAGGAGAACTCAAGAGAGCAGGATCGAGTCTCATTTGCAAAGAGTGACCTGGGGCATTCGTCTGCGTATGGTCCCATTTGAGTGATTTTCAGGTAATTGTCGAATTTAGCAAATTTGGACTGTGATGCTGGCACACGTGGCCTATCCACCATTTTTTTTAAAATGACAACGCGGGATCTTAAACCGTCCACTGCGTAGCAGACGGCACCGAGTAGTTATTGGTGACTGCACCCCCAGCGTTAATGGGGAGCCACGGTGGCGAGATGTTAGCTACCTCGCCTGGTATGCAGGAGGTCGTGGGTTCGATACAGACCCTGACGTCTGCTGCTGTATATTTGGAGTTTGCATGGCTCTCTCCGCATGGTCACGTGGATTTTTTTAGAATGAACATCACTCGTTTAGAGCATTTGGCTGCTACACATTCTGAAAAAGAGCCTTTGAGAGAAATGAAAAAATGCGCAAACCGCTGCGGCGTGTCACCGCTGTTGCCGCCGCCTACAACGTAAGTGTAGGAGCCCTCGCGAAGGACCCGGTTTTGCAAAGGTGTAACGGTGCATGGGTCGATCGAGTAATCCATCTCTCCAGAAGATTACGAGGCTTGGATGCCGCCGGTGAGCCTTCTACCGTGTAAGCCACGGGTCGTGACACCATGCCGTCTGCGACTCCGTTAGCATGGCTCGCGGGGGGCCAGCAAATGATATTTGTCGCTGCGAGCATTCTAGCTGCACCGATCAGTGACCAGAGGGGGGGCATTTCTAATTTTTGCGCCGCGCTCAGTCGCTTCTGCGACTCCAATGGGCATCTTGCAGTGACCGAGATGCGTGTAGTCCTATTCAACACTCGGTAAGGAAATGGTTCCCCACAACCGCTGCTGTAAATCATTTCAACGGCAAAACCGCGTTCCTGCTCGGACGGGCGTGGGATGGCACTACATTTAATTCGGCAGCCCCCAGCCAAACGGTGGAAATTTTACACTCCCATGGTTGTGCGGGACGCTGCCGAACGACGGTTGCGCCGTGTCACCATGAGTTTCCTCCCACCCCCCCCCCCCCACAGTGACCGAATCGGATCCCGAGTCCTCGAAAGGCGGCTATGTGAAACTGCTGCGGGTCCCGACCATCGCGATCATGTCGCTGCTCGTGTGCACCACCGCGGCCTCCATGAGCTTCCTGCGCCCGACCATGACCATCTTCCTGCACACAGAGGTCGCTCCCAGTCCTGAGCCCCGACACGCACGCTCATTCTGCCTCGGAGTCTGAGCCCCACCCTCCCACCACCCCCCACCACCCCCCACTACCCCCCAGGCCGATGCGCACGTCTCCTTCATGAATGGGAAAATGAAAGAGGCGAGCCATGACTGTGGCCATACATCCCAACGTATGGAGGGCAGAGTAAATCCATAAAGACTCATAGCGGGCATGTATATTGAGCTTCTTTTGCACTGTACATTTAGTTTTTCATTTATTTGGTATAGCCCTGTGAGCCATTCGGCTCTTGAATCGGGTGCAACCGTAACAAACAAAAACATGAACACGCCAACCGTGCTGATCAGACGTGGGCGGGAAATAGATCGGGACCCATTGAGATACACTACGTTAAAGACAAAGCCACAGGAGTGGCCATGCAACCCAAGCTATGGATAAATAGAGTAAAACCACTGCAGTCTGCATTACTTTAATGAAGGAGGAATAGCAAAACTACACAAACTCTCTCCTGAAGTCCTCTTGACGTAGCCAGCAGATCTCCAGAGTGGACTTTAGCTCGTGAGCCCATTGCCGCCATCACACGCAAGCATGGAACGGTGATTTCAACACTTCCGCCACGTCGGTGCAGTGATGTGCGTGTTGGGGTTGGCGGATCGCACAGAGGTGGGATGCGTCGTGCGCGTCACGCGTTAGACGGCCGCCCGCACGGTAACGCCCGCCTGCGTGACAACGAGGTGACGGTCGTGGTGCGGGGCTCACGGGGAGCCCGACTGCCATACCTTCTGCTTGGAAACATCGAAGCCAGACAGGCAAAAGGAAGACAAAGCCGGATGTGGTAGTGCTGTTGGGGGGCGGGGAGGGGGGTGACATCAGAAAGTGGACCCACGTTAACTGACGACCTCCGAACCCGGAGCTGACGTGGGATTATACGTGGGATGGTGGCGTTACCGTCTGCGGGGATGTTTTGAATTTCTTTATCAAATGTTGGGAGGGGCATCTGGAGGCATGACTGGCGTGGCAGGCGCGATCAGGAGGTCGCTACGAGCGGGGCACGTGTCATCACGCGAACCATCACGCGAACTCCGGTTACCCTCACAGCCGCTTTTGGCTAGCCATCGAACAAAGATGGTCACCGCATCGCGTGCTTTCGGATGCGCTTCTGTGGCCGTCTGGAATGCTTTTCCTTCCGATATTAGGAAGCCACTGGAGCCATGCAATTTTAAATCAACGAGATTGAAAACTAATTTCGATCAAACTGATTTTTGCGTTTAGTTTGTTGTTCTTCCCTCCGCACCTCCGATTGGCGTGGTTGGCTACGTACGGTGCGGGAGAAATCCAACATACATATACATACAACTGCGAAAAACTTCGAACGAGACCACGTCGCAGGACGCTGTGAAGTGTGCGCACAATTAGTCATGCTGCTCTTTTGGAACGAGAGAGCAACCTCAAGCCAGGTGGTGGCAGTGAGACTCTGCGACAGCTGACACTATGTACGTATCATTAGGGATCGAAAGAGTCATGTTTCATTGACCGCAATGACCTCTTGACCTGGCGTGCGAATTCACGTGTGCACACGTGTCATAGGATTGCTAACTCTTGAGTACAAACTGACCGGGTCATATGGGAAGAAGACTATCTCAAAAATGCCAGAAGAGGGGAGAACTACAGTGTAAAGGCATTGCGTTATCTCGCATGTGTGCCGAATTGTTAAGCAACTGACAAAAGCCAGGATTTTCAATGTGCCAGGAAGTCTTAGAGTTGGAAACGTACGTTGCGAAAGAAGCTCAACATACGTACACGCGACGTACAAACGCGTGCCGGCCGGAGGTGGGGCAGGTCACTGGGACGGGCATTGTGAGTGGCGCCCAGAGGGTTGGGGACCAAGCGGAACGCCTGAGGCCAGACGCCAGTGGTTGGTGATGGTGAGACTGTGAAGAGGAGAGCGGCCCTTGAAGGAGTTGGTCTCAACTGTGCGCGAGTTATGGGATCTGGCCGACGGATAGAAACGATGCAGAGGCCACGAGCGAGCTGTCGCGATCTCCCGATCTTGTCGATGCGATTGCTGGCTACGATCGTAGTTGGGTCTTGATGCCGAGTGCAACCAACAATCTCAACTTGAAACGTTCTAAACGGGCGAGGAACCTACAGTCTGTTTCTGGGTAAAACACAGCAATGGCTGCACGTATTAAAACAATTCCTAAATTGGATTATGCAGCTTTAATATGTAACAATGCATGTCTATTAACGTATTTCTGGCACAATCAATCATATTTAAATATCTTTTACTGACATGTTAGTTTCATCTTAGAAGATAATGACTAATCATGCTGGCGAAATGTGTGTGTGTTTATTTCTGAGTGTATGTGTGAGTGTGTGTGTAGTTGTGAGCGCACTGCGCTTCAAACTTGACGATCCGAGTGAATTTCCCTATAACGCCAACACAAGTGACGATTACACTGTGTAACAAAAAAAAACACATTTTGTTCCCGGATAGTAAGTGTTATTTCCTAATTGCTTATGCCTCAAAAGTACAGAAAATGGCTATTACTGCCCACCAACTTTGCTTTTGTGACCAGGACTTTACGTGGTGCTGGCAACCCACTGACTAATGTGCCGGCCGCCATAGGTGCTCGCTAACAGCACTTGTAGCAACGGTTGTTCAGGCCTTACGGGGGATCTTCGTGTGTGCGTGTGTCTCAGTCAGTCGACCCGTGGCACCTGGGTCTGCCCCGTGATCTCCTGCCAGCGATCGTTCGACACTTCACGTGGCCTCAACGTGCACATGGCCTGGCACAAGCGCCGTGGTGACGTCACCACCACTTAGTGGGGAATGGCGGTTGTTGTTGATTGTGTGTGAGCACCTTGGTGTAAGTGAGGAGCAGTGTCACAGTGGTTCCTACACTGTGGTCAAGAAAAAAACTCCGCTGCCTGAGTTTGATTTCCAGCTACGGCTGAAATCAGTGGCATGTTATGCCTCAACTGGTCTCGACTCTACCCTAGGTCTACTCCGCCTTAAATCGGTATCGACTGCCCTGTGTGAATATCAACACGGTGTAGACAAAGGCGGCCGGGAGTGGTGCTGGCCACACCTCCCCATTTTGCACCATTTCGGCTTTATTAGGTGCTCACTAACAGCACTTGCCCCAACCCCCTCTGCATCGTAATAGTGTACATGGATCTTTATCTTTTGTAGCTGTGCGTGTGCGTGCAGGTGTGCGTGTGAGTGTGTCTTTGTATGCCGATGAGTGTGCATGTCTGTGTGTGTGCAGAATTATGTATGTATTTCTCTGCACATTTGTGTGAACCTGACTTGAACCTCCCTTAGGTTGGCTTAGTCTAAAATTAATAATTGATGTGGTGCGGCCAACGCAGAGAAAGGCGAGACAAATTCGGTTGGGTCTGGCACGGGCTTCAGCACCCTATTATACGCTGTGCTGGCTTTAGTAGGCACTCACTGACAATAATTACCCCGTAGGTCTTTACCGCTAAATGCTGAATCTTTATATTTTATGTGAGAACGAATATTCTCCGAGCATGTGTGTGGACTTGCGTGCCAGTAAATGGTCCTGCGTTGGCTATTTTTGTTTTCAGTTAACGAGTGCTTTTGAATATGTGAGGCATGCGTGTAGGTTTTTTGTCTGGTTGCGAGTTTCACTATGGGAGTGGTACTGTGGCTGTTAGCGTGCTGCGCTACGAACCTGGCCACACAGCTTCGATTCCAACTCAAGGCCAACAACGGTGGCGATTATCTGAACCGGTCCTGGGCCTCTCCTAGGTCGACTCAGCCTCAAATGAGTACCTGGTACAGTGTGTAAACATCACCACGAGGGAGACAAAGGCGGCCGGGCGTGGTGTTGCCCACCCACCCCCTCGTGTGCCGTGACGGCCTTCATAGGTGCTCGCTAACAGCACTTGCCCCCAACACTGGTGAAGACTATACGGGGGAGCTTTGTCTTTGCTTTTGGTATGAAGAGAAGTGGTGCAGACTGTGAGCCATGGCGGCTCCAGTAGAGTGTTGATTCCTGGCGATGCACCTCAGTGCTGCGTGGCATCTGAAGCCGTCCCAGGCCCCGCCTAGATTGACTCGGCATGAAATGAGTGCCTGGTGCACTGTTTGAACATGAGCACGAGACAGGTAAAGGTGGCTGGGTGGTGTGTTTGCCACACCACTTTGTGTCGGTTTTACAGGGCTTCATAGTTGTTAGCTAACAGCATTCACCTCGGTAAGACTGGGATGATCCTTGTCTCTGTGTGAGAAAGTGAAAATACATAGTGTGCCCTTTCCCCATAATATTTTAGTTGAAGCTTTTTGATGTGCAAAATCACACAAAACATTATTTGGGAGTCTACACCAGCCACATATTGGCAGATTCCACAACGACTCCATTCATTTGTGAAAATACACCAACAACATAACAGCTGCTTTCCCATAACTCGCTGCCGTCAAATTGTATACACAAGACAATTTGTGTTTTTATTTTTCTCCTCTGGAGCGCCGCGGTGACAAGATGTTATCTCCCTCACCTGGTATGAAGGAGGTCGTGGGTTCGATCCCAACTCTAACGCCTATATATTTCGAGTTTGCATGTTCTCCCCATGGCCGCGTGGATTTTTCTCTGGGTCCTCCGGGTTTTCCCTCCACATTTAGAATCAACATCACGCGTTCAGAGTATTTGGCTGCTATAATATTCCACACGATAAGCCACTTTTTCGAGCTGTCATTTGTGGCCAGGTCTCTTCCGAAAAATAGCTGGCTAGCTCAGTGGGACTTACCTGGTAAAATAAAAAAAGTTTAGTTTTTATATCTGTTCCCTTCTCCCAGCCGTCCGTGTTGTCGACTTCATACCGCTGTTCAAGTTCAGGCTCTCGGCTTCCTCTTATCCTCTGCCTGTGGCCGACTGCCTATCTACAAAATACACATGGACGCCGATTGCTCTGCGGCGTCTTGAGATAAGATTTAATTTCGATGCATTATAAATCCACATTGCATCGGAGTC